CTAACAAATCGGACATTTAACTATGAGAGCTTTACATAGTGTACCTTGCCATATCCACACACTTTTATCTCGACTGCACGTTGCCAGCAATGACCCGTCAGATGACCAGCTCACAGCTTTCACTTCGTTTTCATGACCTTCTAAAGCTGCACTGCATTCAAATTCACCAGTCTTTCTGTCCCATATACATATAGTTGCATCAAAACTTGCTGATGCTAATAAATTACCACATGGTGACCGACACACAACGAACGGTTCTTTGATGTCCATCGGTTAATATAGTTTTACAAACCCAGTCAGTACCTGAATAAAAACAGAACATTTTAAAATTTCATGTAAACAAATTATTTTAAACTTGTACGTTGCTCTGGAAGACATATAGTACATGTGACAACCACCAGAAACAGAAAGCCCACAAAAGACCGGAGATGATCATAAGATGCATGTACTTAGAAATATGTCAGTAATCAAACTATAAAATAATAATAATAATAGTTTATTACGCAACTATAATCTGCTGTGGATACAGTAAGGTAAAAATAGTGTAAAATAAAGCAACTAAAAATAACTACAAATTTAAAACTACAAAAAAAAAGAAAGTAATAAAAATACAGTAAATAAATCAAAGTAAAGGTAAAGGTTCTCCCTACCCAGGGGTTTACACAGACGGTGCTTTGTATATGGTATTTTTAAGAGACAGGGCAATGTTATTTTCCATAATTTTTAAGAATATTATGTCTTTGTTCTTTTCACTTGAGGTAATTTCGCAGTTTTTAAGGAGAATTTTTCTTTCATTTTCAAAATGTGAGCAGCTCAAAAGAAAATGTTTTTCATCTTCAATATCGCCTTGATCACATAATACAGTGAAAAACATAAAACTGGGCATTTAAAAAGATAAATCAAGCAATCCAGAAACAATATTGTGAATCATCATGAGTTCTAAGTAATGAGCTAGTTCAACATTTTCTAATCAGCAAGCCCTTCATTTTGGATGAGTGGGTGGTCGCAGTTGCTTATATCACTTGAAAGCATGCATACACATTAATAAGGGCATAGCCAATGTTGAGCTCTCAAGCCAATCATTATTAAATATTTGAATTTTAATGAATTGTTAATCTCTAGTGTGAGTTTCTGCCTGAGTTCGACTGTATTCAGTGATCTCACTCATGTATGCATGTTGTCTGGGGTATATGTAAA